TTACCACGAACTAAAACCTAACACCTCCCACAGCGCCCAGCTATGCCTAATGCACCCACGTCTCATCCACAGCTTAGTCCTTCTGGATCCCGTAATACAGCGTGAATCCACCCAGCTCGACGGGCTCGAAATGGCCATGCGACATAGACAACGGATCGCCAAAACAACCCAATTATCCACCTACCGACGGGACACATGGCCATCCCGTAAAACCGCTGCGGAGGCCTTCAAGAAAAACCCGTTCTACCTAGCCTGGGATTCCCGCGTCCTCGACCGCTGGATCGAGCACGGTCTCCGCGAGCTCCCCACGGCCATTCACCCTCTGGACGAATCCCAGCAAAAGGAGGGAAGCAACGACCGCCCCGTCACTCTGAGAACAACCCTTCACCAAGAAGTCTTCACCTTCTCTCGTCCCAACTACGATGGTCCCCCGGGAAAAAAGGTTCCCGTGAACAAAGTGACTCACCCGGATCTAAATCCCGAACATCTAGGTTCATGGCCCTTTTACCGGCCAGAACCGTCGCGAGTGTTCGCTATGCTCCCGCACCTCCGTCCTAGCGTCTGCTACGTTTTCGGAGGGAAATCGGATATGTGCTTGCCTGATATGATGGCGGATAAGATGGCTGCTACAGGAACGGGGCTGGGAGGTAGTGGTGGGGCCCCTGCTGGTCGGGTGCGCGATGTTTATCTTGCCGAATATGGCCACCTGCTTGCTCAGGAGGCTCCCAAAGAGTGTGCTGAGGCAGCGGGTAAATGGCTCGGTGCTGAATTAGAGCGATGGAGAACTGAGGAGCGAGAGTTCCAGGAACAGTGGAGTCGGAAGTCAAAGGTCGAGAAAGTCACAATTGATTCTCGGTGGAAGGACCATGTTCCGCGTCCAGAGCGGCCGAAGAAGCCTGCTCAGTCGAAGCTGTGAATGGTAGTTGTTGGTTTGTGGATAAAGGCTGCACACTACTCCAGCGGGTTGTATAGACTGCGTCCTCTCAGCAAGACATTAATATATTACGTATATACGTGGCCAGAGAGATACGTGCGTGTCCAATGAAATACCCAGATAGAGAGATCTATGTTTGTCTCTTGTTCTCAATTTCTTATCTATAGGATATAATGGTATACTCGTCTGAGCGGCTCAGAGCAGGTCTATAAGCAACTCAATCAATCAAAAGTGGAAGTTAGCGACTGTTCCGACATAGGAGAGCGCTCGAAGCTCCGGTCCTCGAGGCTCCTCGAAAGGTCGAGTCTAAAAACCATGGAAAAGGGTATGTGTAAGTCCGATTAATTCGACTTCTTGGCCACTCCATTCGCGCCCTTGCCTGGAGCGCCGGTGCGGAGAACCTCGGGGATGTTCCAAATGCGAGGCCACCACAGATGGTACTCTTCCTGGCGGTTGTTCAAGCAGTGACGGAGCCAGATGCCCCAAACAAGGTACATATAGGCCCCAAGGCCAGTCATCAAATGCCTAGTAAGAAAATTAGTATTGGAAGGGCAGTCGGACGCATAGTGTCAGCGCGAAACATACCACCAACCATGGCCTTCCAGTAGAATGCCCCAGGGAAGACCCACTTGCCGGCGCCATCCGCGGATCTTCGGACAGAAGGCATTGTCCAAGCCCCAGATGGCAAACCCGCCCAGGAACACGCTCAAACCGTAGATAACCATGAACCACATTGTCTTGAGAGTCTTGATGTCCCGCACGTTTTCGTAATGTTGGTGTTCCTTAGTCGGAACGGGCAGGCCCTGCTTCTCACGCGCAAGCCTGTCCTCCTCCGTTGAATGACGCCAGCGAGGACGAAGCGTCACCTCCATAGTGTACATGCTGCGGATGAGGACGATGGCTGTCAAGATGCCATATGCGTTCTGGTGGAACAGGGGATCCTGGAGGTAGTGGTAGTAAAGGGTGATGAAAATTGCCAAGCTGGCAAGAAAGATGCCCAGGACGACGCGGAAGCCATTCGGTCTGGAGTATGAGAAGGATGCATAGCACATCAGACACGTGGTGTATATCATGGACAGTTCATCGACCAGCTGCATGGGATCTGTGTGTTCAATGCACGGATTAGCAATTTCGAACAACACAGGCTACCCCTCCCCCACGATGCCACCTCACTTACATTTCAACGTTGAATGGAAGAGGAAGCTTCCAGTTCCGACTAGCAGATAGCCAAGATAAGCGACCTGGAAAATCGAGTCATGTCCATTGCGACGACAACTTAGGAAACCCTTGATTCCAAGGGCCATAAACAGCAGGTTTGTCAGCGTATTGACGATCTCTGCGGAGTAGATGGTGGCATAGTAATCCTATCTCGTTCGCATGATGGTTAGCAACCTATTGTAATAGTAGAAAGAGTAACCAAGAGTGAAGTGGAACTGAGCGCCGCGTATACCTCTTCGCACCAATTCAGCGTGGACGTGACGGGGCTCCAATATCCCTCCCTGGAGGGGGGATACGGAATATGGGGGAGGAAGGATGAGAGAGGCATGATGGATGACGGAGACTCAGCTCTCCGCAGGCTGGAGGGATTGGTGACGTCTCTGGCAGACCACAATGGAACGACGGGGTTACGAGCAGGAGGGCATAGCAAGGGGTACTCTTGAAGAAAAGCCAGATTCCCTGAAGAGAAAAAAGGAAAGGCAGGGCAGTTAAGTTTGACAACTGAAGGTGGCCATCCACCTACCAGTTACTCTGCCTTACCGGCTCCCCAGAACCGTGACGTCGAGTAATACGCCCGATCTGCAAGCCAGTCGCCTAACCTCCAACCGAACCGGCGTGAATGTGACGGTTAAGTACGGAGGAAGGTATGCCACCCGCTAATTACAGGGTCCCGATTGGCTCGATGGGCCTGGGCAGTTTGCCGCCGGGAACAATGGGTGGTAAGATTACAGTGTAAGTACATCCGCCGTGAGCGTGGCCAAGTGGAATGAATGGAATGGTCTCTTAACAACCTGCATTCTTCTGCATGCATTGGCCGTGGTGTCTCCCTATCATGTCTCACTCTGTCAAGTGCTAAACCGGCACCTGTTCGGAGAAAGCTCGTGGATTGGTTTATCTTAAGTTGCCCAAATGCAGCCTAGTAGTTATTCTCTTGCTACAAATTTTCCGTATCACGACATGATCAGCCCTGTGACTACTACTAGTAGTACTGTAATATTTGTAGTTAGTTGTAGTTCGTTATTACTGGTAGTGAGCAGCGATAGGCCTGGTTGTTAGATATAGTACTATATAGTAGACACAGCATGTTTTCCAGTAGTTCTTCAGTTCCTGTCAGTCACTGCACAGGTACGTTAACCTTAATCTGAACCTGTACCTGTACTAGGTGTGCCTCTTCTGGCAAGTCCTTACGCCGGAGATATCGGAAGTCGAGAGGCGGCGACGGCCGCGGCAACTGTGGCTGGTGATCTGCGACCAATCGAGATGCTTTCCGCCCGGCACCAGATGACTTCACCAATGGCCCTCCGCTTTGGGAAAGAACGAGTCTACCGCTTCGTATCTACACCGTCTGTCACTAATTTTTCCCTTTCTCTCTTTCACACTCGCTGAGAAAACCTTCCTATCGCCTATCATTTTCACGGAAATCTGATTTACGCCGCTTCGCTTCTGCAATGCTATCCTGATTACCATCAATGTGACCGTCACCGCTTCAAGCGGTCTGTCTCAAATTCTTCTCCATCCATTGTCGTGCAGCGTCCCGGATGAGTTGATCTCATCACGCGTACCTCTTCAAATCACTCCTCTATCTATACATATTCTTAGCACTGGCTGCGGGATCCGAAGCCATGTCGAACAATGCGGTCTATGCTGTACCGCAGGTGAAAACCACCAAAACGTGTATGGCCACTCACTCATCTACAATTCTCTTCACTCAGTAAACCCTAACCATCAAATCAATCAAACAGCTTCCAAGACAACCTTCCACTTCACCGCAGGCCTCTTCTCGGGCCTTACCTCTTCCATCCTTCTTCAACCCGCTGATCTTCTCAAAACCCGTGTACAACAATCTCAGAACGCCTCCCTCCTTCCAACTGTCAAGGCCATCCTTTCCTCCCCAAATCCAATCCGCAATCTATGGCGTGGTACACTCCCCTCTGCCCTTCGCACGGGCTTCGGCTCAGCGCTGTATTTCACGAGCTTAAACGCCCTTCGAACGGGTCTCGTTCAAACAAACGGCATTGCTCCCGTCACCAATAGCTCCTCCGCACTCCCCAAACTGTCCAACACCGCCAATCTAGCTACCGGGGCTGCCGCGCGGGTTGCTGCCGGCTTCGTCATGATGCCAGTGACTGTGATAAAAGTTCGCTACGAATCAGACTACTACGCCTATCGGAGTCTCTTCGGCGCGGGGCGGGATATAGTGCGGACAGAGGGATTCCGGGGCCTGTTCTCCGGATTTGGAGCTACAGCGGCGCGTGATGCGCCGTATGCTGGACTATACGTTTTGTTTTACGAGCAGTTGAAACGGCGGCTAGCAGGATTATCAAGCTCATCGTCTGATCAGCAGCCACTGAAGTCGTCCTCAATTAATTTCGTCTCTGGGGGATTGGCGGCCGGGCTGGCCACTACCATTACAAATCCGTTTGATGCGGTCAAGACCCGATTGCAGTTGATGCCGGGGCGGTATGGAAACATGATGCGGGCCGTGAGGTTGATGGTGCAGGAAGATGGAGTAAGGAGTCTATTTGGGGGGTTGGGGTTGCGGATTACGAGGAAAGCGCTTAGTTCTGCGCTTGCGTGGACGGTTTACGAGGAGTTGATCCTGAGGGCCGAAGTCCAGTGGGGATCGAAGGGAGAATAGGCTGTCTGTAGATCATATTAAGGGTTCTCTGTTGTAGATTCCTTAGAAGGAAAAGGGTTAGTTAGGGCTGGAGTTTTGTTATCGTTATGGGTATAAAAAGAGCTCGGATACGGACTGCACCGGGTCGACGTTTGGTCATCGTCATCATCATTGTATCATATATATAGCAACTGTTCAAATCCCAACTCATGGAACGAAAAAATTCACGACATCATAACTTGACAAATCATCATGCCAACATCTTGTATAGGATAGCTGTGCAAATGAACAAGAGAACGAATATCGATGGACAAGGCAAGAGAAAACAAGACCTAAATCAGATCGATCAAATCATGGTATCACACTTCGTAGCGCGTCAAAAATTGCGAGATTAAGTGAAGATCCAGGCACGTGCGCCGGGGTTCTTCTTGCGGACAAGGTACATTTTGTCCTTCTTTCGGTCATTCACCTTGAGCTCGGTCAGGGTGCTTGAGTGCTGAGTGACAAGCTTGCCCTCACGCAGACGCCGCGTATGAGCGAACAGCTCCTCCTGGAAGTCCTCGGAGATCCATTGCTTGATGATGATGTAGTTGCCGTCGAGCTGTTGTGGGAAGGAAACGGTCAGTCATCGTCTAAGATATCTCAACCAAGAAGGTGTAGCAAGGGCTCAACTTACCTCATCCCAGTCCCAGGGTAGACGGTAGGCAATAAGTGTGTCGGGGAGAAGATGCTTGCGGTGGACCTGAGCCAGTGAGTTAGATGAACGACGACTTGAATAGGGTTATGGGGGGATGGTCGCATACCTTGATCCAGGTGGTCCGTTGGGGCTCAGGTTCCTTTTCCTTTTCCTTTTCCTTCTCCTTCTCCTTCTCAGGTTCCTTTGGCTTCTCAGGCTCCTCCTTTGGCTTTTCTGGCTCCTTAGGTTTCTCGGGCTCCTTCTGCTTCTTGATAATCTTCTCCAGCTGTTCTTCATCGTAGCCGAATTCGAGTCGTAGTCTCTCCTTGAATTCAGCGTCACGTCTCTTTCTCTCTTCGCGTTCGGCGATCATTCTCCGCTCCTCGTTTAGCTTCCACTCCTCGATAGCGGCCTGCTTCATGGCGGCTTCCTTCCGGGCACGGTCCTGCTCAGCCAGGATCCGCCTGGCCTCTTCATCACGAAGCTCTTTTTTGATGCGCTCCTTCTCTTCATCCTCTTCCATCTTGCGCTGAATCTCTTCGAGCTGCCGTTGACGCAACTTTTGTTTGAGCTCCTCTTGTTCAGCAGCTTTACGCTGGGCCTCTTCGAATTTAATCAGTTGGTAGCGATGCTCGGCCTCACGCTGCTCTTCTTCCATGCGCTGCTTCTTCTCGTACCGTTCCAGCCGTCGCAGCCGCTCACTGATCTCGTCCTCGTATAGATCCTCCTCCCTCAGCAGCCGGAGCTCATGGTGATGATGGTGGGGAGAGCGATGCTCATGCTCCGGTGCCGGCGGAGGCGGGGGAGGCTGCGGCTGCAGCTGCTGTTGACGATGCTGGGAGGTCTCACGATGACGAGCCAGCTCCCGCTCTAGACGCGCGATCTCCTGCTGATGGCGCAAGAGCTCAAGGTCCTGACGGGCATCATTCCTCTCGAGGAATCGCGTATCGAGCATCAGCTCATAGTCCCGGGCAGGTGGGAGTGGTGATGCCTCCCGGGAGATACTACTCGGGCGAGTGCGAGCTCGACGATGATCCCGCAACCTGGTCTCATCCTCAGACTCGTAGGGATCAATGTAGTTTTGCTGCTGCTTGTGTTCCTGTTTACGATTCTTGGTGGCACTCTTGGTACGAGCGTCGTTCTTGGCATCGCTCTTCGCATCTGTCTTGGCGTCGGCTTTGGCGTCATATTTGTTATGGACGTCGACGATGACGGCGACGGGCTGGTTGTTGCGTTCGCGTTCGCGCTCGCGCTCACGAGCGTGGCGACGAGGGGCGCCGGTGGAGGCAGAGCGTTGAGGGGGGTGGTCATGGATCACGGGGCTGAGGTAGGTGTTACTGATGTGTTCGGGGCTCCAGCGGTGGCGGGAGATGGAGCGTCGACGAGTTGTGACTTTCCGGCGCGGAGTCGTCTCTACCATGGAGTAATCCGATTCGGAAAAGTCAGACTCCGAATCGGTGAGGAGGTGACGTCCTCTAGGATATGCTGAATACATGGCGGTGGATTTATCTGCTCCGCCTATATCCCCTCTTCTGTGATTATGAGCAGCTTGCTGCGTGCGTGGATATAGACGGTAGGGTCAGATGAATAGGCTGGCGGGGTGTGACGTCGATAGTGGGCAGCGAATCAGCCGTGGTGGCGGAGGCTGGGCGATGATAGCACCCCGACTTCGAGCTGAACGATATGCCGCTGAAAGTGAGGAAGATCTGACGATGGAAGTCAGAGTAGAAGAAGTAGGTGAGAAATGGACAGAGACGAAGAGGAAAGGGAAGAGAAAAGAAAAGTCAAGGCAAGTCAGTGATCAAATAGGAGCGAAAACAAGAAAAACCGGCCCCTCGTGCCTCGTAAACGCGGGCGCTTCGCTCAGCTGAAGTGGGGGATTGGCAAAGATTGGGCCGCCTTGATCAGCTGCGGGCGGCGACAATTAAGGATTCAGGTACTTCCCACTTTGTCTTCGATCATAGGCAGAGAGTCCTCGAATTTACGCGAAGCTAGGCCCTCTCATGCAGAAGCGCTGAAGCTACGGAATCAAATTAACATCTGTTTATAGAACCTTGACAGCGGCGGCTATTGAAACTGTAGTATTATGTAGTCTAGCTATAGAATGTAGTGAATTGGTCTATCTCGACTCCTCAAAATCGAGTAACTACCAGTACGAGATGCGGTGGATGCTGGTGGTAGCTTCTAGTTCGTCCAGACAGCATAGCGTATTCCATCGTGGGAAAAGAGGTTGGGCGTCTAAAGCGCCACCCACGCCAGTCAATTCACCCACCATTTTGCGTCAACTTCAGGTTCCACTGCTTAATCTATATTTTTATTTGTTATCAATTAGTCTATCTACCGATCTATTCGATAGGAGAATTCCGTCGCCTTCGCTCACTCACCCAAGGAAAAACCCACGGGTCTAACCGTTGGCGTACCCATGGGACCCTGGGTACCTGACGTCCAACCCAGTCTTAGCGGTCTAGTCTTGCTGGTACCGCGGCAGTGGAGATTATCTATCGACTAGTTATCTTCTGACCCGTAAAGTCAAAAGTAGGGTTCAGAGCCACCCGCTCAGCAGGCATCAAGGATGACCAGGCAGTAGTAGTGAATAATGGCACCTGACCTGAATTCAGTGATTAGTTGGCATTTCGGAGATGGATGACTTCTGTTGTGTACCCTACATTACTAGGAGGAGGCATTAAGGGTCTAGTCTAGTCGATTGCTGTTTGGCCCCCACTGACAACTAATACATCCACAGCACAGCCTTGTGGGCCGAGGCTGGCCAAAACTCACTCTCAAGTGTCTGTATAGGCACACATAACTGAGGTTATTAATTACATAGTACTTATTTGGAGTCTCTCATTCATGTAGGGTGTCCGTCAGCTACAGGCCTGAGCTAATATGTATTTGATGCTCTGGAAATATCCAGAGAGTCCTTTCATAGCTAGTAGCATACTTTTGTTGCTTTTCGGTTAATTCGTTGAATTTTGGATGAGATAGACCGACCCCCAAGGAGAATTGTAATGGTTTCATTAACAAGGAAAGATGACCCAGAATATCTTGAACGAATACTTTTATTCAATGAGTTATAGAATTTTGACAAAACAAGTCCTTTATCTCCGCTAGCATATGTAGCGACTCATATATTCTACTATTGGTATCACAAAGAGTGGCTTTCAAAAGGAAAGGATTATCAGGTTTCAGTGAGCTTGCCAAAGAGGTTGCAGGCGGAATGGTACTAGATACCTAGTATCTGATTTTATTCATTACTTTCATTTTGACATGTAAAGGACAAAATGGATCTCTAGGTCTGATCACGAATTTCACTCAACTCTGCACTCTACGTGTAGGCATCAGGTAGTGTCTAATATCTATCAATTATTGCAGATAAGAAAAGTGAGATCTATTACAGGTTGTAGGTAGCAAAGTGAGCTAGAGAATCCAAAAGAAAGTAACGATCAGGACAGGACAAATGAACTGGAAAAACACACACACACACACACACACACACAAAAAGGACAAAGAGATGCCCTCTGCCTTGGTCATATTCCACCTGCTAATACAATGGGATTGACTTCAGTGCAAGTTCCTTCAAGGTAGTCTCCCGGACTTGTCCCAGTTGCGAACACTTATTAATATCTTCTTTCTTGGCTTATGTAGCCAAAAGTGTTACCTATCCTTGAGATTCTTGCCCAACGCCTCCTCCTTTTCCCGTCGCTGTATATACCAGAAGATTACCGGGTATGCCAGATCAAAGCCGAGATAGAGATAGCAGCACCAGAGCATGAAAGGCTCGCCCAACCATCCAAAAGCCTCAGGCCAGTACTTGATTCGAAGGTAAAATTCCGGGATCAGAGTCAACGAGCCCGTGAATCGGAAAAACCTGACAAAGGTAAATCTCTTTCCAACAGCACTGTCATGACTTCTAGACCTGGGTATACGTACCATAATTGAAGGGAGAATCCGCGTGTGGCTCCCCGAACCAAAAGCTGGCTGACATATCCAACACTTAGGATGACCTGACATACGATTGCGTTCGCGAAGCAAGCCTTCACCATGCCGAGCTCTGAGGCAAGGCAAAGATGGCCGGCAATTGCCAGTAATATTCCGCCCCCATATATCCAGGGCAGGTTGCGTTGTATTATTGGGGATCGGTCCCACTCCCTGGATCCCCATTTGATTGCTGCGAAGATAACGCCAAGGTTGCTTATGACGGCGACTTGGAAGGTTAAGCTTACTAACCAGTGGTCCAGAGAGAACAAAAAGCCGAAGGTGATCTCCCATGCGATGTTGAGGCACTGACAAATGAGTGGCATGGCAAAGGACTTATCTTTGTAGGATCGGTATATCATGCCATAGTACACATAGAGCCAGATGATGTTAGTGTAAGCGTTGAGGCCATAGACTGTTGAGGCCCAGACCGCGAATTCCGGGGGAGCAGCCGAAAGATCAAAGGCTTCCATTCTGCGTAGGCTGAATAAGAAAGCAACAGGGTATGCCAAGGTAGTATTTGAGAGGAATAGGGCGGTTTTGTTTCCGGAAAGGTCCCCATGGGCTTTATACCCACAGCACAAGTAACATGGAATATTCAACTGACAATTTCAGGATAAAATTGGAAGTCAAAGGCGAGGAACGGAGTTCCAGCGAGCTGCACTATTGACTATGATCAAACGCCTGACAGCCCCGACCTATGCACAGAACTATTCCGGCCTCATTGCGTTTGATTGCAAGTAGTGGGTCTCAGAGACCATACCAGAATCATTGATCTCTCAAGAAGCCATGCGTTCCAGCAGACTGACATACCGACCGGTCCGATTTAAAAGTGCCATGGTTGAGCTTCTCCAGGCATAGAATGGGATACCCGCTTCCTTCATCAATAGCCCGTAGCGACTGAGACATAGCAAGCAATAAAGTATCTGGTCTGTTGCTGATTCTACCGTTATCTGAAAGTCAGAGCGCTGGGAATAGTCAAACTTGCATTCGTCATTTTGAGTTCTGGGTTAGTCAAAGTGCAGCATAATGTGTTCTAAGCTCCGGGTGACCCTTGTAGTGCTCATTCGGTGCATTGTAAGAGCTCCATCCACCCCTCCAACGAGCAAAAAACGACCACTCTGATCCTAAGAAGTAGAAGTTTAGCAAGAAATAACCTTCCTACTCGTCCAAGCTCAAGCCTACAAATTCCTATCACCCAGCTAGGATGGAAAACAACAATGCAGGAAGAAGAGGGGGAAAAGAAGGGAAAAATTGACAGAAACAGAATAGGCTACTTGTTGGTTCATAAACCTGACCAGACTAGAGGTTGGCAGGCTCACATTCTGCACTCCACGGTTTAAGTTTGATTGCGAGTCAGGGTAACTTGCTCACTGGTTACGACGCAGCCCAGTGTACGCCACCACGGAGTTATTACTCCGAAGTATCATGTGTCCCGGTACTATCAGCTCTTATAGCTGATTGTTGTACTGTCAAACAAAAAGACCAAAATAGTACCGTTGTGCATAAAATATGAATCCATGAAAGGGAACCAGAGAGCAATGATTGCTCTAAAGGATATGAAGGCTGCGCGATCCAATGTCCATCTTGCCCTGATCCCCATCATCTATGCCGGATCGGGCTTACAGTTCGGAGTGGTTTAAAGAGAAGAAGCCGGCATGGCCAGATTTTCCATTGGAAAACCTACTAGGGATGGGGTTTGGCATGATACTCTTCTTCACCCCCACATGCGAGCTGCTCATCAACAACCTGACCACACATTCTTCCTTTGCAACTGCCTAAACAATATAAGCAGCCCATCAAATTCGACACAGCGCACTTCTGAATGAATGTCAAATGTTTTTCTTATGGATAAACCGGCACTAGCGGTGGTACTGCAGTGAGTGTCTCGACTTCTGTCAGGTTGCCATGACTGCTGCGCCAGGTGGCTCAAGCGACCAATCTTGAACTGATAGTTTGACTTGAGCTTACTGTCCCTTGGGCCAGGATCAATATGCTGAAGAAATGAGACACTTATTCTAAGCTGCATGAGCGCAGATATAGACGTATAACAAACGAGCTTGAAGATTTCCTCTTACGAAATTGACCGATCCAATGCATCCTTCGACCAAAGGAAAGCTTTCTCTGCGTTCCCAAGGTTGTTTTTACAAATGTTGGTTTGAGCTGCCTATGAATAAATTAGGCTTATGAACAATGCACAATCAACTCCGGCCTTCCTTCGCAGTAGTCGCTGTCTCCAGGGGCTACCATTGTTGAAGTGAAATACAAAGGTGAGCAATGCCCACAAATGCCGAGTTGAAATTCGATTTTAGCAGGTAAAGGTGGATGCCTAGGACTTCTCCTATTGCTCTCATGATACCGGAAAAATACAAAAGATTTTCACATGCCCTGGTTCTTCAAAATATATTCGTATTCAATCTTTTCTGCAACGAGTGTGTTTAAAACATCACAATTACCATAAACCCCAGAAATTATCTTAGGGAAACTCCCTCACTATTACTTTCGCGCAGCTCGCACTTGATACAAGCGGAACCCAGATCCAGAGACCACAGAGCCCAGCAGCTAGTCGGTCCAATCCTACAAATACACGTCAGAACAATGCTTCTTACACTCGACCTCCACACTAAGAGAACAGAAGATGAATAACAAGAAAGCGACCAAGAAAATCTAACTTACCGCCCAGCAAGCTGTGGGGTAACTATCTTGACCACAGTGGATATTGTCGGTGCTCTGCATATACCAGGTCAGATTTCTTAGTAACAATCTAGACTGACACAATACACTTACACCAAGAGCAAGCTTCAAGCAATCCTGGGACGCGTAACAGTCACTGGCAGTATGGCACTTCAGGCCGAGTCAGTAACAACTCACATCTGGCTTCCCATATACAGTAGAGCAAACGTCAAAGACATACCTCAATGCCGGCGCCACAGCCATGCCAATGATAAGCCCGCGAATCAAGGCTATTAGGAACCGGTGCAGGGGAAGCCAGAGTTCCTGCACCGAGACTCAAAGTTGCAGCGAGGAGAAGGAGGAACTGCATGTTGAAGGTGGGCTTTCTTGAATGCCAGATTACTAATAATGTATCGGCGGTTGATGTTGAAGGATCTGATGACAGGTTGAAGCCTGAGATTACTACCTTCTCCACGCCAGAGATGAGATCTTTATATCTTCGGCGCAGGATTAGGCGTCCAAAGCCCATGCATATCACGCATACGCCATAGATGCTGCCATTATCGAAGCATAAGAAACCTGACGAATAAGCAGCTTTGATGACTTGCATATCACGAGAATAGTGGACATATCATGTTCTGAGAAGCAACATGGCCGATGGTCTGGTCATGCAAAATGCAAGGGACCCCCAGATGAGAGGCTGAGGGAGATGCCTCTCGTATTGCTGATTCTGGGCGGAGGGCCTTGCATTTCCATCTGCCATATGTTAGTGCACGTATTGGATTCAGAAGCTCTACTCCTCTGTTTGAACAAGCTGATCCGCTAGATCTTCCAATGTAAGACACGATTTCAAGTTACAACGACCGCGTTAGAGGCGGCTACCACAATGATCTCCATCATTGTAGAACCCACTATAATTAGATTAACTTTTGCACGTTACACAGCGCCAACGTCACCACGAGTCGATGGCTGATTTCAGATAGGATATCATGGCCAACACAGAGAAAAGGAACCGTCAAAAGTGTCGCAAATCACCGCCTAATGCGAGCATATGTCGGATGGATCAGCCAAGGGGACCATGCTGTCCTTCAACGGTCTGGAGTCTAACGTCAGTTTGTACGTAAAGTCGAGCACCAACTGAGACATATTATTCCTTATCGGGCAAGGCTTCGGCGCATCATGGAACACTTACAGGGAAACCCATCACCCAATTTGCAATTGTCGCAAAAATTGCAAATGGACCCTGCACAGCTGGAATCTGGCGATACGCAACGTTGCCCTGACGCCCCGGCTGTCCACCTGTATCACAGCGGGAAGGAATAGCCGCATGGCGTGTGCGCCAACACGGTATTGCCTGCTTATGCTCCTCCGCTGCTGGGAGGGATAGGATATAGATAGATATTCGGCATGCAATCAGCACGGTCGAGTAACGATGATTGCCCGAGAGATTCGTGCAGCAATAATGCAAGCCCACTCCGAGTTTCACTACACTTCCACTTCGTAGGTGCCTAGAGCAGCCTTGATATTGATCCCGCCCATGGCTAGAATTTGCCACTGTGTATCCAGAGAGAGCCTTCTAGTTGAATCGTACGATTATTAATATATGCTGTGTCCCAAGTCCGGGGGACGCGATGTCCCATCATCACATTTTCCCATCGAACCCATGTTGTTCATGGTGGCTGTAGACCTTGAGAACAGCCAAGAAAGAGATACGCAAGCTGCACAACAGAAGAAAAGGAATTATTTTCTCCGCGGGCTCAGTGCTTGCCAGGGAGAGGTTGCATGCGAGTGAGATAATGGACCTGGGTGGTGAGCGTCGCGCACCACATCGATGACGGGTCGCATCCTTGTTATGAAGTGTAGCTTAGTGGGCTTGCGCATATTGTTTCGTAGATGGCTGACATGACTTATGAGCCCGGAAAATAAGAATTAGGAAGATTTTTTATTTTTATTTTCTTTCATTTTCTCATATGCTACGGCATCAGATGTCCGATTCACTGATTCGGGTCGTCGATCAGGATCGCAACTGTCATTCTGCTGGCTGATCTGCAGTCGCGCGTGAGCTTCCTCAATCCTACTATTGCCGGTGAACTTGTTTATTGCCTGTTGGGTATTATATTAGTACCTCTCTTTCTCAAATTGTCCAAAAGAGATTTTGCGTCTGGTGACTCGGGGGTCCTGAGGCACGATCTCCTGGAGTATAAACCCCCCCTCTTTCCTCTCCTCTTTCCCTATTCCTTGTTCACCATCATTCTTTTCCATCAGCGACAGAATGCCAGAGATATCTTTCTGGGCTACATTGGCGCTCTGTAATTTTGTTTCCTCAAGCTTGACCCTTCCGTGGCTCTCAACAACCTGTGATCCTATGCGGTTTCTGGCCTTGCTGGTGCAGCCGGACTTCTTCTCTTCCAGCGTTGCGGTTCCGACCCTTTGCAATGATACTAAGCATACAAAATCACTACAATGTGCGATGAAGTTCAAAAGTTGTAGGACTTGCTATTGTGCTTCGCATAAATGGCCTGTATATTGTAGAATATTAGTCGGGCAAAGTAAACCGAAATTAGAAATCCAAGACAGACAAAGTAATCGTACAATGTCGAAGGTAACCCGAGAAATCCCAGAGAAACGTCTCAAAGTATTGACCTAATGCACTCATGTCGGTTATTTTTCGGGAAAGCCTCATATTACTCCAAAGTAGACCAGAACAGCTAGTATCCTTTACTTCTGATCCTTATATTGAACCGTATAATTGACCGACTTCACGATGCCATTTTGTTCCCCACTCTCATTCCTAACTATTGCCTGTGCACTCTCTGCATCACCATCTTGATCCCTCCCTGCGTTTGTCAGCTGAGTGTGGAGCGTAGTCAGGTAGTCCCAATTGCGGATCTTCCTAGCTGGCTTCTTGAGCTGATAGCTGTTTTCACTGGACTGCTGGTTTCCGCTGGTATTTCTGCTGCCGATGCTGCTAAAAAGGCGCGGGAAGGTCTGGAGGAAGAGAGGGCGCATGACTGGAAGGCAGGCACAGATGATACCGACATTGATTTCGACCATGCTACGCCGAGATGTTAGCTTCGTCAGACGTTGAGCAAGAAAGCAAGCATACCACCAGGCCGCAAGGGTAACTTTGTACCAGGTAAAGTCACTGCTATGAATAAACGGCATCATGGTGATGATCCGAACACATGAAACAATACAAGCACTGGGAAAGTTTAGTGAGTAGTGGTATGAACGTGTGCACATGAAGCTTACAATGAACCGAGAATGAACAGCATCAACAGCATTGTCTTCTGCCTCCATGATACTTGCAGAGACCAGCAAAGACGAATTGGCAGTATTAGAATGATCACATCAGAAAACACGTTAAATGCGGCATTTGCGTAAACAAAAGAGAATTGGTCCACGCATTTCGCTCCAGCCGATTTGCTCACGTCCCACATAGCAGCGACTGGTTGACAGCCCAGTGTGAAGACAAGGATACTTGTGAGACTGTATGCCGCAACGAAAGCCATGATAGCGTAGGTGATTTGACGGAATCGTTTCTCGGGACTGAGGCGGAGGTAGAACAGGAGGATGGATGTCTTGACAAACCAGACACCAAGAGAGTATACGTCTTCTTCTGCGAGATCATACTTCTGAAGTTAGTAAGGGTAGAAATGCGAATGCATAAATTAGTTAAATACTTACCTTCTTGAATGCTGTCAACTGATCAAGATATAAGTCCCAGATGTGTACTCCATATCCGTTTTTGACATCTGTTCTCGTCAACCTCAGCCAAGGCGAAACCAGATTTCGTAGACATACTGATTATACTGAGAATGGCAAAGATCCATGCACAGAGTTGGCCCATAACGCAGCACGCTGGAAGGTCAGTGGAAATGCCAATTGCCGTTGTCTGATCTACTTACCATCATCAAGATGTAGATTCTTCAAAATAAATGCGCGTGTGTAAAGCCGAACAATCAAGACCAATGTCGCCGCGGCACACAAGCCAATGCTGACCGAATAGATTTGATATTCGGAGCCGGGAGGATTCACGAAATTTGGGGTCACTCCAGGTGGAGGAGAGCCTGCGGGGGTTCTGCCTGTGTCTGCCATTGTTGTTTGATTGTTAGAAAATTGACCTCTGGCTAGTTTGGAACTAACTCAGTGTTTGAAGTCATTATATACCTTGAGGATGGTACTTTGTTTCCCACCGAAGAATGAATTTTCTTGTGTGCAACCAGTACTAACATCACCCCTGCATATAGAGAAAGTTACCTCTAAAAATCATCGCCAAGCTGAACCCGTGTGTGGCTTGATCAATGCGCCTATAAGGCTACTGACTCATATAATTTAATTAATTATCTCGTCACTTCGGATATACGTCCGTAAAGTTTGTTCGAAGAGATGAAGCTATGGGCTCAGATGGCTTGAAGGTAAAGTAACTGACAGCTCAATTCTCCGTTCAAGCCTTTTGATCATTGGTGAATTTGTGAAGATCATAAGCGACATGGTGGAGTAGATTGCGATGATCTCGGACGCTGGCCAAACTTAGTTTGCGGAACTGACGGCTCGAGGGTTCTCAAGAGAAATGGGGGCATTTCGGGGATAGCTATCAGTAATCAGGGGCCCGAGCTGGGATGATGATCAATAGACCATTACATGGAGGCTGATCGGTATTCCCAACTGAGGACCGAGGTTACCGGTCGACTTGTTAGGCCGGCCAGCCTAGTCACAGAAATCTAATGTCGCCTTATAAATTGATAGAACGGGGTAACTCTGCACTGACCTGAACTTGATTCTACTGAGTGTATGCGTTCGACAACAAGTGTTTAATTACCGAACGCAACCGCCCGGAAGACTTTTCCTAGCCTCTGAGAGGCTGAAATGGTGTGTTACTATAGCATTGTCGGTCGTCGCCTTCCTGAATATTCAGAAAAAAAGGGACAGAAGAAAGACTGAGCTGTAGCAATGCATTATAGTCTGCTTTCACCACTTAGTGCCGGAAACTTAGGGACATATGGAGGATATCTGGAATGACAGCACGAAAACTCCGTAACTGGACTGTGCTTTGGGTGGACCCACACAACATATTCGATGGAGGTCACTGTTAACCTGAACTTGGTTTTTCCTGATTGCAATGGCTTGGGTAACCGCAGGGGCAAAAGTCCATGCAGGCACTGCCTCCATCCCGCTGCAAGGGAATACTCTAAACGTGCACAACTTCTTGCAAGGGGTGCTTCCATACATACATACGTACGTCACAAACTCTCGATCGAGCAATATCCCAAGGGAATGATGAGCTTGCATGGCGAACCTTCTTGCCTTCATTGAGTGATCATCAGAGGGAAGAATATGACCTGTCAACGAGACGAGGGGAACAGCTCAAAAGCTCCATAGCCCAATCGGAAATAGCGGATCATATTCGCCTAAAGCTCATGCACCCGTGGCTCAATATTGGCTACTAGAAGCTGATGCAATCCAATTCGACACGACATCCCTTGGAAGAATACAATTGATTGCCCAGATTCACCTTTGATAAGTCTGGCATTGATTAGTGGCCGTCGGGCAAGAATGCTTCTACTACATCACCTCACAATAGAATGTTTCACCTGCAAGTTTCATGTGTAACCTAAAACTTTTAGTAACCACTATCTTGAGGAAGCGAGGGATTTTCACACCGGTTTAGTGGGAATATATTATAGCCATGCCGAGGACTGTGTGTCTCACTCACATGCAGTGCGTGAGTGGGTACGGCAGTACTACTCTTGCACTCCGATCCATTCATGAGCCATGTACTGGCACACATGGACCCTTTATATAGTCAACCTCGCAGCCTGGGCAGTCGCAGGTGTCCCGGCAAGGGTGCCCTAGCTGCGCGGAATTCGAGTGACGCGTAAATCAGCCAAGCTACGGGTTGACCACTGCTCGACTAAGTCTGTGTGGAAGCCTATGCTATAAGAAAGCTCTCAGATCCTCTAGATGTGTCCGAGTATACAGTTCATCTACCCTTTTACCTCACCTTCAGCACCCTTGACACTGCGTATCACTCCTGTAAAATGGGAACGATTGCCCACAAGGATGAAGCTCTCCAGCAGAGTCTGGATCAACTCGTATCTGCTACGAATCAATACCAGAAGAGCTTCTCAGATGCAGATCGATACAACGTATTGATGAATGCAACGCAATTGATCCAGACCTTACGTGGTCCGGCAGATATGCTTTATGCGCAGTTCGAAAATGTAGGTCAACCTGCTCTACGATGATATAGACTCTGACAATGGATTCTGCTAGGCTGCCAACACAGGAGCCATAAGAACACTTTTGGACGCTGGTGTATTTGAAGCGATCCCTACCGGAGGCAAGAGTATCTCAGCTACTGAGATATCGGAGAAGACGGGGATGGATAAAGAATTGATTGGTATGTTCTAGATGGCATATCTGCTTCTACTTGTTGAGCCTTTTAATAAGAGAATGAATAGTTCGACACATGCGCGCTGCCACTCCAGTTGGTCCCTTTCGTGAGGTTGGAGAGGAGCAATACGCCCATACACCCTTCTCGGAAATCTATCTTGTTCCGCAAATGCGGGCAGTCTACACCTCAATGTGCGAAATGTACCATTAGCAAAAGACGAATTTAGAGCTAAGATACTTTGCAGGATGCACGATTTCGTCCCCGCTATGATACGAAATTGCGATTTTCTCCGTCAAAAGAACTGGAAGAACGAAATCACTCTTCGCAGCAACCCCTATTCATTGGTTCACGACTGCGAGGGCAAGACCGCGTTTGAGCATCTATCCGCAAATCCCAGCAACTTCCGCCGCTTCAACGAATCTATGAAGGCAGCGGATTCAACCCTAGTCACAATGGGTCTGTATCCATTTACTCAGGAGCTAGGTCCCCTGGCGAGCGATGATACAGTAACTCTGGTTGACATCGGCGGTGGTCGAGGCCACGTTATTCGGCAAATCAAGGAGACTGAGCCCGAACTCAAGGGCCGATTTATTCTTCAAGACCAGGCGAGCGTAATAAAAGATAACGGTGACGAGATTCAAAGGCATGGGATCGAGGCCATGGGACATGACTTTTTCAAACCACAGCCGATCAAGGGTGCGTTTCTGCGTGTCTTTTGACGTAAAGAGAGTTTAACTGACCGATATTGATTAGGTGCTTTGGCTTACTATATTCGGCGCTGTCTTCACAACTGGCCCAACGACGAGAGTCAGAAGATCTTATCTAACTTGGCTGGAGCCATGGATAAGGAGAAGTCTCGCGTGCTGATTACTGAGCATATTGTGCCTGATGTCGGAGGAACGATGTTCCATGCCTGGATGGATCAGACAATGATGACCTTTGGTGGCCTCGAACGGACGAAGAAGGATTGGGCTCATCTCTTGGATATTTCGGGGTTGGAGTTGGTCAAGGTGTGGCGTGCTCCTGGAGTGCCTGTTGGGGTAGTGGAGGCTAGATTGAAGTGAATATTGTTATAGAACAGAGTAGACACATATAAGACGCTAGAATTTAGAGGCAAGTTTGGCTATTCGAGAATGCTGATTGATCGGTTGTAGACTACCTGTAAGAAATCGGGGCAGAAGGTCCCTACTAATATTAACCATATTAGAATGAGAACAAGAGCTGACTTAGCTCAGCAAAGCCTTACGTCAGACCACTTATATTCCGTGATTAGTTTCTCCTGGTAGAGTCCGAAGCTGCTTAGGATATGCTGGCGCTGTGGAAATGTGTTGCTTATCATGAACGCCTTTTCCTTGGCTTGGGGGCCGTTTTACCTTGCGTCTCCTACGCACAGTAATCCTTATCTGGTAAGATATTTGCGAGGGTATCAGCATCAATACGCCCGAAGTTGATTATTTAGAATCTTGATACTTGTCTATATTTATAGTATTTGTACAGTGTTTTGCCTCGTCTTCCAGTAAGCCGAAGTCAATAAAAACATCCAAGACACATCTCCATACTCATAGTACGGAGCAACCGCTCGTCAATAGCCGACAGACTTCAATCTACCCTCATGAGCTAGAAGTAGCCGTGGCGGTGGCCTCACACGCATATGTGGAAACGAGAGTAGACGTGATAGCATAGGTGGTAGTTGCAGGGGTTGGGTTCACGACTTGAAACCAATTCGCCGCCACGGGAGTACCCAAGCCTGTTACTTCCTCGAACTCATCAATGTTGAACCCAAGACGGGCCGCATCTGTTGCAGGCAGCAAGCTCTCGAGGCAGTCGGGCAGGGAGTAGTCTTCTGGCTGGCTGTACAGCAGCAGGATGTAATCGTGGGCAGGTCCTTCCAGCGGTGTCGGGTAGACATACTCCGCGTTTGGGGCGCTCTTGTTGCTGATTTCCAAGACACCAGACGAGTAGGCTAAGTAGGGCTGGTACCAGTGTAGGGCGGCTGTTGAGACACCATCCTCATTGATGGTTGGGTCGATCATGATGATGACGTACTCGTCATCAGTGGAGGAGGTGTCCTCCAGGTACAAGGTGGGAATGTTGATGGTCCCTGTGGAAGCGTTGTGAGCACGGAATGCAAAGGTTTCATGTGTGTCAGAAGCAATTTTTCTTACAGTTCTGGTTGATTAAGGCCCCCGAAGTGAGAGTTAGATGGCTCCCATCTTTGGTGAAAACCACGCCAACATCCGCATCGACGGACGGAGTAAAGGAGGAGGGAGTCGCCGCGGCCGCGAGGCCGACAGCAAGAGAGGAAGCCAAGATCTGGAGAAAACGCATTTCTGTGGTGCTAATTATTTCTGTAGAGGAGTGTTGGTTAGGATTGTGGTGCGAATTTCTCAATCTTGGCTCCATCCAGATTGTTCTTATAGTTCCTTGCCAAATGCTTGTTTCACTGCCTTGAAATGAACGGGCCGATTAGAATCGGTTTGTGTAAAGGTGCTTCCGAAATTGAGGTTAGTATTCACGGAGAAGCATGGCTGATACATCTACATCCTGAAGTGTTGATTGGCAAGACAGTGATCAGAAGCTTGTAGACGAGGAGGACCAGGATCTCGTATTCGGCTGCACCGCCCCAAGTCTACCAAGGAGGAACAGGTGTGGTAATGCTAGAAAAGGCATCCTCTTCATAGACTAGAAGCAAAAATTCCCGAAATGTATTACGTGAGTAGCAAATCTGAGATAATCCGAGCCTTTGAGGCGTTGCAGGATCGGATGGTGATGAATCTGTTGGGCGTTATAGGTGTTGCATATCTGCCAGGCACACCACGTGGACGCATTCCTTCCGAGTTCCAGTGGGTCTTGATCGTTTGGAATGCAATGGGCAGTTCGAGAGTGATCCTGCAAGATCCTTTTGGGCGTGGCAACGCTAGCGCTTACTCTATGAATGATTATGGCTCCTGTTATGAACTCTGATCCCCTTTCCTCCGGGATGAAACAACCAATGAGTTTCTAGTCGTCAGAAGGGGCCTGATTGCCTTTCAAATATCAGGAGACACTGTACCAAATTACATCATTGCTATCCCTGGAGGATGTAGAGGGTCACAAAGATAGTGCGAGTACGTGACCTTTGATATACTTACCACAGACAATCCCTACTTTATTTACTTTGAAGAGCACAAAGGCAAGGGTAATGTACCCATGACGACTAGGAGATACTACACGAAGCGATGTGTATCGAGCAGACGTCTAGACATACTGCACATTTCATGCGTTGATTTTCAATCAGAATATAGCGCAAACCTTCGTACACTAGACTCGGGGAAACCGGAATGAGAAGCTGTGCAACTATCATCCTCCGAACCTTATGTCCCTCATATCCGTTGTCACGCAGAGGCAAAAGCCTCCATTGTAATGTGAGGTGACTAAAATCCTAGAGGTTAAGTGAGTCATGGTCAAAAGCCTGGGCAAAAGGAGAATAATTCCCCACCTACACTGATGATGGCTCTGCCGATTGTGTGACACATCAGCTTATCTTCAAATAACTGAGCACATATAGTATCTCTGTGCCACGACTCTGCACTCGAGGTTCTTGGGTCTTCGCCTTGTATAACGTTGACTGGTAATAATGGCGACAATATTGTGGTACGTAGTACCTCCATAGTGAGGCTTCTTCGTGGCGCCCGTAGACATACGATCTATAGCATTGGTGGACCACCAATCGTAGTTTGCAATATTGGCAATATGTTGGCTAACGGTGGTGGGATTATAAGAGGGCACAGTCTCATTCTCGTGGAAGGCACGGTTACCTATAGTTTCACAGCGTCGTTCATGTCTAAGGCGGGCCATAATCTAGATCGCCTATGAAAAACCGAGCTTTCACTCTGTGAGAGTATAACAAGAATACCCTTTGTTTGTTTGCTATAATGCAGCTAGCTGGTGATACATACTGAAATAACTCTAAACACCGCTAAGCAAATCCAATCAACGCCGAGCGCTCAGCGCATTCAGCAGGACGTGTCATGACCACTGATAGCGAAGGCGGCCTTCACAGTACCATGATGCAAGGGAGCAGCAGAGCGCAATACAGCACATGAGACTGCCCCTTAGGATCCCTATCCTAGCGTAAATCTCTCATGCAGCGTTCTGTGAATGCCGTCCCATTCTCTGGTATCATCAGAGGCGGGCCTTATGCCCGACATAACGGCACCTTCTACAGGTATATTATAACTAACTCTTGTACTCATGTTCCAGTTCTTTTCGACTGATGAGACAGCCCCTCACGCCTTTCCGCCGGACTTCAGGATCTGCTCCAGATTCTCCCGGCTGTTCTTATGTGTCATTTCCAGGTAGTGTAGCTTCTTTTCCAAGCCAGTAATATCCGCCTTCAGATCTCCGCTCTCGCTGGACAGGCGCTTGTCGATCGTGTTCATGGGGACAGCCACAAACCTAAGAAAATGATATCAGTTATTATGGCCGCGAGATTCTTCCGTCTTCAAAGCATCCTTAGAAGGGTGGAATAGCAGCCCGCCAGTAGACTCACATTTTGCCAACACCCTCATATACCCTTGTGTCCTTAGGAAGGGAGCTGATTTCCTTTGATGTCAGCTCCAGCATGCGGATGTCTCTCTGCTTAGTTGTGATCTGCGCCTTGGTGATGCCGATCTGTTGTTGGGAGGTGATGGCTTGGACTTCAATTTCTTGCAGAAGCTGTTTGTCCGCAATACATTAGTTATGAGGATCTGACAAATTTGCTGGGACAATGTACCTTCTGCAGAGCTTCGTTGGGGATGGACATTTTGGGTAAGGAGAGGGGAGTCCCGCTTTGGTATTGAGGGGTAATCTGGGGTCGAAAGAAGTCGCGTCGTCGGGTCAGGAAAAGCGCGTATTCAGGTTGACCCGGCAGTGATTTCTGTGGTATTTGTCGAGATGATACGTGGATTGGGTATAAGAGTAACAGGAAAGGCTGTTTGTTGGTTATCTATCGTTCTGATCAAGCTCGACGATGAACACATCGGCCGTCCGCTGTTATTGGCTCCGAGGCCCGGGCGGTAGATGATACCGAATTTGGACATCAGTCTAGGGCTTAGGGCTTCAAGCAGAACAACTACTGGTGTACAATTCTCGTGAAAGAACAAACATGTATGGTCTTCCGATAATAAATGTTATTGAAAATCAATTAATACATCATTGAGGCTCGCATTTTGTTGTACTCAGCCTGGGTGGTTGGCTTATATTTGGCCGGGTATGCCTCACTCATGCATGACGGAATACACTCAATGATCATGTCTGGATCAGGGGACATGAAATACGGAATTGAGTAACGCTCCCGTGTCATCCGGTTAGGCCCCTCAAATCGATCTGGGAGTTGTGGCAGTCTGACGCGGTGGTTGGTTGACCTAAGGCGATCTGTATTATCGATTAGGAATAAGGCCGTTTTCACACTACTACTAATGATTCGCGGGGAATGGCAAAGACAAACCATTGCTCCACATTTGCAATAAGTCCCCAATGTTCATGATGATAGCATGTTTCAATGGAGCAGCTGGGACGAATGTGCCGGGCCGAGAAATATCCTCTACTTCAAGGCCACCACAGTCATCCTGGAAGAGCATGGTTATGGAACTCCAATCTGTATGTGCCGGACATCGGGCGGTTCGCTCTGTCTCCAACTCCTCTGCCGGCACAGGTAGATAGTGCAGCAACCGGAGCTGGTTGTTGTGGCCCGAATGCTTCTTCGTCAGGTAACAGCCATCTTCCAAGTCAAGGCCGGCAGCTAAAGCATGTAGTATCTCGCTTCCAACCTTATTGCACTTCCAGTAAAACTGAACCATAAAATTCCGGTAACCAGGAAGAGTCTCTTCCGGTAACCACTGGTTGGGCTGAACGGAATTCTCTTCGCTGCCAATATCGTAGATTTCCTGTGCTCAAACGTCATTCCGAATCTCAATATAAGACTCGATGGGGACAATTATGAAGAATTTCTGTGTCTAATAGCTCACTGGGGCGACATGAAATCGAACAAACCTTGACATCGGGTACCTCTCTCAGCTTCTTCCGCGCGTCCTCGTCATCCCCTGTGCTCATGACTTGAGAAACCTTTTCAAGACCGGGCCATGAGTAGCCTCGATGTACAGCCCAGCCCTCCGGATGCGGGGCCCGCATCTTGTCTTCGCTTGAGAGCTCAAAAAAGCGTCTCATCCAGTCAAACGCTTCATCCAAAACCGAGCCAGGAAGCGAGTGGTTCACTATATATACGAACCCAACATCTTGGCAAGCCTTAACCAGTGCATGTGCGACCTGTTGACGAGAGGAGGCATCCGGGCTGTTGTACCACTGCGAAAAGTCCACGACGGGGATCTGCATCTGAGTAGAACTCGTAGAGAAAGACATACCGAATATATCAGATACCTAGAAGTGTCTCGAAGTTCGAAGAATAATTTTAGCTACTTAGGAAGGATTCTGAAACTGTCATGCGATAAATAAATTTGCGATGACACTTTCAAGGAGCTGTTGCAAGATGGATGGCTAGTGCATTAGCTGGTCTGGCGCTTAGTTCCCAAATTGCCTGGCCGATCATATGCTTTGCGATCGTGGAAGTAAAAGATTCCACGTGAACGTCACTTTCAAGAAAAGGAATGAGCTGGTATAGCCAGCAGGTTTGGTATGTCTGAGTGTTTCATGATGATCTAGAAAGACCTGAGGTAAGCTTACGATTCACGTGGTGTAGTTGATATGTTACTCCATGTGTGAAGTGACATCATCTGGTGACGAAGTACTAGTAGCAGACCCTGAGATCGGAGCTGGAGCAGTATTTATCCACTCGGTGATAAAGCCTATGGAGACCGGCGGAGTGCCGGGTGATTGCCTGGCTACGGTGCAAAATTTCAATCAATGCGAGCCAAAAATAGGTGGACAAGTCCCATCCTCGCACGGGTGGCTGGTTATTGAGGGGCCACGGGCGACGCTCCGTTGCTGTGGCAGGGGATCGCAGTGGACCCGGCGCTGCCTGAACAACCTAAAGATGCAGCATCCATCACCCACACTTTCCGGTGTCCAAACCGGCTTGCTCGAGTGAGGCGAACCCGGCAGAAATTAGTACAAGAAGAAGTTTTCCAGGAACACGTAAGTGTGCTTTTATCCGCCCAGGGTCATGTCCGTTGAGCTACTGTGTACTTGCAAGCGCTATCGACCACTACTGACATCTACTTCTACCGCTTTTAGTAATCTGTTGATCGCCGCCGCAAAGCCGTCGCATAAAACTGGTCCTCAACAGATCGTACGATTAGACTGGTCACAGTCTCCCGCTGCGGTAGTGACATATTCCGACGTATATCTTCGATATTCTGTCCTGTCATATCTGAAGGGCGCGCTATAGCCCTAGCCTTGACAATGAAGCTCTTCGGGTGGATCTCGGCAGCATTCCTCGCTTCGACTGTCCTTTCGATAGAAACGACACCAGCTCCATCAATTGACACTATACCATTCTATCCACCCCGCAATGCAGACTCGGGACGGAGGGCCTTTGAAGTACTACAACTATTAAGGAAACGGGGCGATAACTGTCCTTCTGGATATGATTCTTGCACAAACCTAGGCTATTCGGATATATGCTGTGCCGACGGTAGCAGGTGCACCCGCGACGCCGCTGACAACGTCGCCTGTTGCCCGACTGGAGCAAGCTGTACGGGCACGCTCTCAGAAACCGGAAACGCGGGGGGAGGAGCAACCAGCAGCTTCCGATTCCCCCAGACAGCGACGGCTACACAGACTACAGATGGGACGAGCGTGACTCTCACGGGCTCTACAATTGCCGGGGCATATCCCTTTGTCAATATTCCGACATCATTTGCCAACGCGCGTGTTTGCACATCATATTACTCTCTATGTCAGAGCGAGTATACTGGTTGCCTTTCGCAACTCGGAGGAGGCTATGCTGTGACTGTGGCTGCAGAAGGGGGAGGTGTCACTCGCGCTGATGGAGGAGCTTCTGCAGCTATATCAACATGCTCTAGTCTGAGTATGGAGGCATGTCACGGCCTCAGCATTGGTTACTGCGGCAGTTACAGTACTGATGTCTACGAGAACCGGGGAACGATGCCCAGTCGGAGTTCCAGTCTTGAGGACCTTTTCTTTGGCATGATCATTGGACTTGCCGGGATGTTCCTATGAAGCTACGACCAAGCTTGATTTTCATGTGGATATGCATGTATGAGATATGGACATACGCTCGCTCAAATGACGTGAACAATTTTTTCGAAGTTAACAATGACCACTGCGACACTCAAGCGACAACTACCTCGGTTGAGAATGCCCATCCTTTGGGTAGCTGAAACAAATGACGGAATGTATCTATGAAGTGATTGATGATGGGCGATAGTCAGGCAGCTATCAGTATAATGAGTCTCATGATTTTGTGGCGTTCTGTATATAACAAGAGCATCTAGATTAGCAATAACAATGAAGGAAATTGAATGATCGGATTATGATGGCTTCCCTATTTGGAAGTGTGTACACTGAGCTTGTTGCTCCGAAATACACAAGAGAGATGCAGGTTGACGACCAGGGTGCTACATCCATGGCGCCTCACCACCACATCATTTTTAGGGTTCACCATGTAGCGGAGTATTTATGATGTGAATGTCGGGCCACGGACAATGCGCACTTCCAGTCACCCGTGCCAAATCACTGCCTAAGCATGGGGCCCCTCCGTTGGGTGACACGTCGGTGTAGTCACCACACAGTATTCGCCTGATTTGTGCCGACGGATGGAGGCCCATGCAGTCAGTACCTGACGGACGCAACTCTGTCGAATCAGAGAATGGGTTTGCTAGACCGACTCGCCATGGAACAAAAGATAATCTGGCGGTGGAGCCGACAGCACAGTAGGCCGGGTCTGTCCAAGTTCCGGACTTTTCGCCCACGGACACTATTGGGTGCAGACAATGACGCTGTCAGGAACTGAGGGGAGAATTGGTGATGAGAGGGGCAGCAACGGCATCATCGGCCACTTCTCTGCCATTGGATCACAGCGGGGCAGCAACATGCAGAGTCAGGAAAAGTGGGCATCCCAGCCTCCGAAATTTCCTTTTTTAAATTATGATCTAAGTTTATCTTCATCACTGATTCACTCGGCCTCGCAGTGATTGGTGGTGGCCGTCGCAGGAAATGCGGTGGTTGGGAAGTCGACCGGACGGAGGCTGGGATCAAGAAGAGCGGACGGGCTGCTCGTGGGATGGCACCCTGCTCCGACTTCTCTCCTCCAACCTTCCATACATTCTCTCCTCAACTGATATGCATTCTTTCGATCTCTGCTCTGCAAGCTACCTGTGACGGTCTCTTGCATTCCATCTATTTGCTTGGCTTCCTTTCGTTCGCTGTCTCTCCTTCTATAACTCCTTGTCATACCAAGACCTAGTATATCGGATCATCCATCGGAAACCAAAATTTGTCCCTAGCAGCGATCGCAATTCAAGACTGCTTTTGGTCGCATCGTGGGCTGGCCTCGTGGTCGTGGAAATTCCTACATTCTTCCCTCGCCATGCATGCGTCTCGCATAATCCCGTCGACTTTATCTATACTGGCCCTACTAAGTCAGTTTCAACTCTCGATAGCCTCGCCATTGGAACCTGAGGAGAGCCTCGAGGAGGCCACCTTAGAAAAGCGCTGCTCAAATCCTTGCGGTTACTATAGTCAGCTTTGCTGCAGCTCAAGCGAAACATGCAGCACCAATAGTGATGGCGAAGCTGAGTGCGTCGCTTCCGGAAGCTGGGAGTACTACACCACCACGTATGTCGTGACCGAAACAGAGCGTGCGACTTTTACTTCAACATGGAGCTCCTACGTTTCGGCAACAACGAGCACTGGAAGCTGCAATGCCGAGTATGGCGAAACGGTCTGCGGCAGCGATTGTTGCGGTCCTGCATATGTCTGCTCCGACAATCAATGTGTCCTGGGAAGCACGTCAATCTGGGCAACTGCTACTGCCACACCTCCCGTGCGCGGAACAACGCTATCGACTGTAACCCAAACGGCTACGACTACTGAACCTTTCACTGCCCCTGTTAGCACAAGCGGCACGCCATTGGTTGTGAAGGGCTCTGGCGGGGGACTCAGCGGCGGTGCCATCGCGGGAATTGTTATCGGAACAATTGCTGGCGTGTTCCTCCTGTTGCTTCTCTGCGCTTGTATGTGCTGCCGTGGAGCACTCGATTCCGTTCTTGCTTGTCTTGGTCTCGGTGGTGGCAGGAAGCGGAGGGAAACAACTTACGTCGAAGAACGTCGTCGTCACCACCATAGTTCTTCCGGAGCCAGACCTGAGCAGCGCACCTGGTTCGGCAGTCGACCGGCTCCCTCAACAGCAGGTGGCGGTAAAAAGAAGGAGTCTGGAATGGGTGCGTTGGCGACAATTGGGATCGTCCTGGGTGCGATTGCGCTGTGTCTAGGGTTGAAGAGGCGCAGAGACCATCGCGACGCAGACGAGAAGACCGATTACACGTACCCGAGCACCTACTACAGTTACTACTCCTCTGACTACTACACCAATGATGGTAAGTGATCTCTTGTTGCTCTTTTGATCAAACAAAATCGATGATGCTAATAGTTTTGCAGGAAGCGTTGTGACAGATGATCGGCGGACGAGAGACACCAGAAGAACTAGACGATCGCGCACGCGCTCACGAAGATGATGATTTTATGATTTCAATTAACGAAAAAGAACGACTTACCGAAAGACAACGAATTACTGAATGTTGATTCCGTTGTCAGACTTTATTTGAACGATTTTGCATGAACTGGCGTTATCCATGGTTTATGATTGACGTGTGATGGTTTCTTCTTTCGTGTTCGAAAGATCTGCAATGTACGATGATGAGACATGTATCCATGTTTTAATGCCCTTGACTGTATCTGCTCTTATCCCTTTTCTTTGTCTCTTCGCCTTTGTTCTCCGTCCCTGCTTCTGTCTCTTTCCCATCTCTTAATTGAAAGACGCGGAAGGATATTGTGCTGTAGATAAGATTCTCAATATAGATTGACAAAGAACAGTATTGTACATATTAATAAACATTATTGCCTACCTACATCGTACATCAAGTATCAGAAAGTTAGAAGTAAAGAGCATCTCGGCCCAGAAACGGTGAGGGCTGAAAACAGGAGTTCTACATATCCAGAGCTGCAAATGCCCCCTCAATCACGTTCCTTGAAGGCCGACGCGGGGATAGCTACAGGTGTATGAAGGATTAGAGCAAAAGTCGCAACTTTCGAGAGATCCAGTGTCAGCGCACCCCTTAATCAAGAGCTGATTCTTGATAATCATGCACCTGCCGGAGCAACTCGTGCGTTCTTCCAATAACTGCAGCTGCAAGGCGGCCATCAACGGCCAGCATGCCAACCCAAGACAGAGGTGGAAGGAGTTGTCATCATACTTAGATTCGGCTCCACCGATCTGGTAATAAGGGCAAACTGAAGGGATAGAAAATGTGAATCGATTCGTGTTACCGATCCACGCGATCAAGTTGTTCCGATCGAAGCGGTTCGAGTCCGACAGGGTCCAGAGAGTGAAGCTCGGCACCTTGTCGACGGCACAAACTGCCCGGGCGGAACCTGCGACTCCCCGCCTCCCGTAGTCCCAAGCCATCCATCCATCATTTCACGCTCGCCTGTCCTTCAATCCCGCTGTCATTCCCACGCCCTCGTCACAACCCCCCCACAACTCTCAACTCTTGTATTCGAAAACCCTTATCCATGAGGCTACTATCGAGTATACGATCCTGACAATACCTACTCAGCATCATAGTTCATTTTGCCCTCGTCCGGCTTTTCCCCGATTATCCAGGGCTGTCAAGTCTTCCCTCCTGAGGATTACGAGTCCCGTTGAGCTCCGATTCTTCGCTGGCCCGCCATGCTTCAAACGCAGACTCAGCACGTCTTTTCCCACCAGCACCAGTATCCGCAGGCTGATCCGTCCTGGCTGCAGCAACAGCAGCAGCAGCATCATCAAACCCACCCGCACCAGGCTCAGCAACCGCATTCTTCGTTGGTCGCCCAACAGCATGCCCAAGTCCAGGCGGCTGCAGCCGCCGCTGCAGCTGCTCAACAACAACACTATACTCGCATAGCCATGGCTGGGAACGCCGGTGCCGGTAATTCCGCTCAAGGGGCTGGTGCAGGGGGCATTGGTGGGGATGGTGCTTTGCCCGGTGCGGTGTCCGTGATGGATGGTGGCATCAGTGATGAGAATCGGAAAGTTTTCATCTGGGTCGCAGAACTCCTCGATCCGAGTCGCAGAGAAGCAGCTCTCATGGAGCTTAGCAAGAAGAGAGAGCAAGTGCCGGAACTTGCGTTGGTTATCTGGCACTCTTTCGGTACGGAAACCCCCCTTTGATCGGCTTTGTTGGTGGCGACTAACGGGCGTTTTTTCAGGCGTCATGACCGCTTTACTCCAGGAAATCATCTCTGTATACCCGTTGTTGAACCCTTCGCAACTGACTGCGGCTGCATCAAATCGAGTTTGCAATGCGCTTGCTCTCTTGCAGTGTGTGGCTTCCCACAACGAGACTCGCACCTTATTTCTAAATGGTACGCAGCCGTCACCCAGGAGCCATCCACCCCACCCTTCGTTTCCAAGTAGTATATGCTTTGACTAACAAAATCTCTTTCGCAACAGCTCACATTCCTCTGTTTCTCTATCCTTTCCTCAACACAACGTCAAAGTCGCGGCCCTTCGAGTATCTCCGCCTCACCTCGCTCGGCGTAATCGGAGCGTTGGTCAAGAATGACTCATCCGATGTCATCAACTTCCTCCTTACCACAGAGATCATCCCTCTTTGCCTACGAATTATGGAGACCGGCTCAGAACTTAGCAAGACCGTTGCAATTTTCATCGTGCAGAAGATTCTCCTCGACGACATCGGCCTCGCGTATATTTGCGCAACGTATGAGAGGTTCTATGCAGTTGGAACCGTTCTGAGTAATATGGTTACTCAACTTGTTGAGCAACAGACAGTACGGCTTCTCAAGCATGTAGTGCGCTGCTTCCTTCGGTGAGTCCTGCAATTTTCCTTGTATCGCCTAAGTCGGTTTGGTTCTCCTTCAAATGCTGACTTCTGTAGCTTGAGTGATAACAGCAGGGCGCGAGAGGCGTTGCGTCAATGCCTTCCCGAACCTTTGCGCGATGCGACATTCTCCTCCGTACTCCGCGACGACGCCGCCACTAAGCGCTGCTTGGCACAGCTTCTCATCAACCTTTCGGATAACGTCTCCGATGGCGCACCTGGTGTTGCGATGTAAAAAGTTCAAAAGCATTTGTTTTCCTTCTGGTTTACTTGATATATTTGACAACCTTACGACATGCATGGGGCGGGCTTTAGGCGAAACACGGAATACAAGGCGCAAACTGTGTGGAATGGCAATGCAATGACGCGATCTCAGGGAAGTTGCACAAAATCAACAGAGAGAAAAAGAGAAGACATGGCGGGTATGGGAGCACTGGGCTTGGGGGTTTCTGTCTTGTTATGGTTTGAAAGGTTCTGTTGTTTTGCTGATTATCTATTCTTTCTTCCCTATCCCTGGCTTTTACTGTGGCTTTCTTTCTGCTTTCTATTTACCCCTATTTTTCATTCGTCCAACACTTCGTTCCCCTTCGGCCATAGTGGTATGGCTGTGCGGTGGCGTGGGATACGGCTGGCGCTATTTTTCTGTGTGCATTTTGCTTGTCCTCTATGTTCCCCATTCCCCATCCTCCATCTGAGTGAGATAGACCCTCTTTGAGCGAGATACCAAGATCTAGTTTTATGTTTCGTTGGATGGTGCTGATTCTGCTTGTTGCTTAAGTTTCATTTGCTGGTGACCTGATTACATGCAGAGGCAAATTATCATTATCATAAGACATTCTCTCCTTGACTTCATAATATGAGCCTGTATCATCATCTAAAATAGTCTCCACGAGGCCTTGGTAAAATGTGAGAAATCGGATCGCATCGAAAGCGCAAGGCTTATCGGCACGGGATCGACCCAATCGGCGGATGGAAGTCACCTGACTGGGGTCTCGACGCGCCGCCCGGCGATTCTGTGAGCTCATCTCTTCTGCCCAGCCCGACACGCCCGCCCTGGCGAACGATTTCCTGTCTTCACGCCGCTGTCGATCACGTCGATACCCACTCATTCTGCCATTTGGTAGAGGCACCTGTGCTCGTTCTTCTGTTGCATATACGCTGCGATACTCATCCTTCACAGAACTCCCGCCCCCGCCGCAGATCCGCCGCAGTGGTCGAATCTTGTCCTGCGCCGCGGCGCCTTTAATGGTCTATATCCGCCTTCATGGTATCGCGAAAGCGCACCCGCTCCGAGGTGGACACTGCCCCAGAGCAGCCACCTGAGGAGCCGGGTTTACTCCAGAAGCTTCGAAACTGCTGGGAGTTTGCAAGCCTAATGCAATACATTGCCATATTTGGGAAAGTTATGAAGATTGACGAGGATTTTGGGATTGAGGTTCGCAGTGCAAACCCAACACCTCCAGTTTTCTTTTACGTTTGGGCGCGTTCAATCAATGCTAATAATTTACTCCGATATTCTGCTTATAGGATCTGGAAACTGAGTGCCTAAAGCCTACCCCTTCCGAGAAATTACTGGAGATTGGTCTCTGTCTCTTGAAATGGGTGTCGTCGCATCGGGGCCTCACGTACGTGCACCGTTATTCTGGCCATAACTGTAGCTATGCTAATAGGATGCTCTTGCTGATAGTTTTGATAACTTCGATGAGTACACGCGACGTCAGTACAATGCGAAAGCACCACACATTCCTAACCCTTTCGGATACGAGGAGGTTCCGAAGAGATTCTTGGACTTTGATGTTTTCTTGAAATTGCGCGTCTTGCACCAGCTGTCTATTTGGACCTTCTGGAATCCCGATCGCATCCGCGAGAAGATGCCGGAGCAAAGGGAATCGGATCAGACGGAGTGGGTGGGTTTTACGTGACACACCCCTGGATTCCTATTATCCTTACTGACCTTCTGCTAGCGTATCGAAGAAGTAGGCTACGATCGTGAAGGCCGTTACTACTATATTCTCGATGATAACAGGCTCTATCGCCGCACCGACCCCCCTATTCCGCCTCCGAAACCGGCGAAGTCGAAGTCGAGGAGAAAGAGCGCCCGTGCCATGAGAGCCTCCAAACGAAGACGAGTAACAGGCGCCGATCCCATTGAAGAGTCTGATGAGGAAGATAATGTTGTGAACGGCGACGCCTCAGAGGATCCTCTGCAAGCGATGACGTGGGAATGCATTGCCATTACACTAGACGATTACAAGCAGTTCCTCGAGTCCATAAGGAAGACAAGGGACCCCGATGAAAAGATCCTGAGGGATAGGATCGATGAACAAGTCATGCCCATTATTGAGAAGGAAGAGGAGGCACAAGAGAGACAGAAACAGAAGCGCGAGAAGGAGCTTTTCAACATGCAGCTGCTCGCTGGGGCTAAACGATCCAGTCGGATTGCCGGAAAGGCTGAGAAAGAGCGACAGGAGCGTGAGGCCGCTGAAGCAGCACGTAAACGAGAAACCGAACTAGCCGCAGCCCGCAAAGAGGAAGAAAGAGTGAAGAAGCTGGAGGCGGAAAGACGTTCGCGCATCATGACCCGGGAACAGCGTACTAAAGATCGCGAGAGGAAGCGGATACTACACGAAAGCGAGCTTCAGCGCATCAAAGAAGAGCAGGAGAAGGTTGCACGGGGTGAGAGCAGAGCCTCTGAGAGACATCTTCAAGCGGAAATGGAGAAGTACCGCAAGAATTTGGAAGACCTTTCGCAGGAGGATCAATGGATCTTCGACTGCTCAGGCTGCGGTGTTCATGGTCAGAATTTGGTAGGGCATGATCGTATCTTTAGATCCCTATGGCAAGTGTACTAATTTTCAGTAGGATGATGGCTCTCACAGTGTTGCATGCGAATCCTGCAACGTATGGCAGCACAGCAAGTGTCTCGGTATCCCCAAGAGTGAAGCCGAACGAGAGGATTTCCACTTCGTTTGCAATGACTGTAAACGGCGCGAAGAGGAAGCGAAGTTGCCCAAACTTCCACCGTTGAAATTCCGCGTCGGCTCGTCGACCTCGCCGTCCTCAGCTGCGCCAGACGGAGATACCAAGATTAAAGTCCCAGATCCGGAACAAAGTCCCATATCGTCCATCAAAACCGCTCAGCATACCTTCCAGTTGCCTCTTACTGGGTCCCCTCAAAAGCAACCTCCTTCCATGCCTTCCGTTCCCTTACAAAACCCCCCTCAAGCCGTCTCCTTCCCTCCTCTGTCCCCCGAGCGCAGGCCTCAGTCCGCCCACACCACATCATTCAGCCCTCCTCGAGCTCCTTTCTCTCCATCAAAGGGCTTGAATGGACATACTCCGTCATCCAAGGATCAGATTCCGAAACTGCCATCCATCCATCAAGCAATGCATTTACCGCCCCATTCTCGTGAGTCCTTCAGCGGCGGGTCGTTTCCGGCGCGGCGACCGTCGTCCTCTCACTCTACGCAGAGTCCCACTCTGCCTTCACCCATTCAAAACCGGCCATCTATGTCCCCAACTCAAGGAAACCGAGATGTTGGTCCTCTTGCGGGGTTTCCACCTGTAGCTTCGACAGATCACTCAGCCCCATGGACGCCGTACGCTCAACATCAAACCCCCCGTCCAAATACGGGCAATCATTCTTCCTTCTCTTCCCTGCATAACGGGCGTCCATCTTTCATGGCCACACCAACTGCAACTCGCTCCTCTCCTCCACAAAGTTCCCACGGTGTGCCTCTTTCGGGAATCAGTCCGACCAAGCAGTCACCCCGACCTATGACATCTGGCAGCGTCACTGGAGCTCCAGTCCTTCCTCCGATTCAGAAGCTCGAGCCGAGTCCTAAACTAATGGGCCGAAGCTCACCTGATGCACCCATTCCGCCGCCGGTCAAATGCATGACACCGGAGCAAGAGGAGCGCAGGCAAAGGGAAAACGCCATGCTGCAGGCCCAATTGCACGGGACCAATGGCCCGCATTCAGTGATGTCGTCGCCATCACTCAATCGTATCCCACCTTTAGGGCCTTCTGCGGTTGCTCAACAGCCTGCGCCATCTCCTCAGTCAGGCTCAAAGTGAAGTCGCTTGGTACTTTCTGCTTATGCATGCTGGCACAAGAGCAGCTGCACAACAAATAGTATACCCCTCTCGTTGTTCGAATTTGAACACATACATTCACTCGTCATTTTGTCCTTGGCTCGATTATTGGTCACCTCAAACACCGAATCTATCAATTGTGGTTCGGCAGGTTGATCTTGCAGCGCAGTAAAGCTTAAGCGGCCAAATTCTTTGGAGGCGCCAAGCCATGCGCGCAGGTCTTGTGTACCTTCCTTTCACCTTCTGTCTCGCAGCGTTTGAGTCCGGGAAAACCAGCTGGTGGTCCTGGGTTTTCCGCTGCTGTTTTCTTCGTAAACTCTGTTCTTCCATACATTGCTCTTCGAAGTGCGCACGATGTGGAGTGTGTGCTGGTCTAGCAATCCACAATGGGATTTTTGCTTTTTCCTTTTATGCTACCTATTTCGCTTGGTTGGTATGGTTGGTCTACGCTTCTCTCGTGTCTTAACTTCTATTTTGATATACTGGAATGGTGGCGTTGCAGGATACTGAGCTAATAGAGGGATGGGGTTGACAATGGATGTGAAGTAGACATTGACTAGATGTAATAAAAGCGAGGCAATTACAATCTGATGGTTTTAATTATGGACCGAGATCGATCCTGTAGATGATCACCGACATTTCTGTTGTCGCTGCCCCTTGTGAACCGTACATATCCCGGCTTCGTCGTGCAATTGCTACTAC